TGGGACGCTGCCACAGCATGGCTTGCCAAGCAGTGCGTCGGTGCGTGCCCGGGATCCGAACCAGCGAACCCCAGGCCGCCGCAGCGGAGCGCGTGCACTTAACCGCTTGCGCCACCGGGCCAGCCCCTCTTTTTAGCATTTTTTAAATTGCTGTTGTGAATAAGAGCATGGAATTAGTTTTCCATATTTTCTTTTCATTTGCTTTGCTGAGATAGAATTAAGCTATTTTCTTCGGTTAATTCTAGTGTAATCCAGCCACTTTGCTGAGCAATTTCTTATTAATTCTGTGGTATTTTAGTTCATTCTTTTGAATATTCTAGGAACAAATAACTGTGATTTTGCTTTCTGGAGCTACACCTCTCTATGTCTGTGTTAAGTCTGGCTTCTTGTCATGGAGCTCCTTGTGGGCAGGTGCCCACCTCACCTCTGCATCCCCAAAAGTGCCAAGAACACAGTACGTGCTCAATAAGTGTCCTTTGAGTGAGAGTGAAGGGATCCTAGGCCAAGGAGGTCATTCCTGGTCCTGAGTGGCAGCCTCTCGATGGGTCACTCTGATTCAGAGTGCCCCTCAGTCTTATCAGAAGGCTGACGGCTTTCAGACCCAGGGGGTCTGATTCAGTCCAACAAACTCACAGAGAGCTGCTGCCACTTGTCCACTTCCGTCCAGAGTGGGGGCGGTGACCGGTTTCCCTCGGGAGACCCCATTTGGGGCAGAGGGGGTTTAGGAATAGGACCCAGCAGAGACTGGTCAGCCCAGAAGTCTAGCTCTCCCTCTAGCCAGGCTGCCCTCAGTGTGCCCCTCCCAGGCATGGAGCACTCTCTCTGAGGACGGGAAGCCAGTTTCAGACTCAGCCCCTCTCCCGGGGGTCCAAAGCAGGGAAAACGACACCTGGTTCTAGTTCTCCTCCCTTTATTTCTACACCCTGTATAGTTGCCCACATTTATTAGTATTCTGTTCTTTAATTTAAGAAGTAGGTAATACATTCACCAGGTTCAAACATGAAAGCATCCTAAAAGGCATACAGTGAAATGTCTCGCTTCACCTCTGTCTCGCCCCATCCCATAACTACTTTCATTAATTTCTGCATCCTTCTGAGAGTTCTTTATTCAAACACAATCAAATATGAATATATTCTTATTTTTCTCCATTCTTACACAAAAGGTAGCATCCTATACATCCGCACCTTGATTTTTTTTTACTTAAAATATACATCATTATAATACAAATATTAAACACTCGTTATATGCTAGTCACTGTTCTAAATTTTATATATTTAAACTCATTAAATCCTTCTAATACTCCTATTATTGTCCCCATTTGGCCGTGGAGATTTTGCCATATGAAGAGCTTCCTCAGTTTTTTTGCAGCTGCATAGTACTCCATTGTATGGGTGCGTCATCATTTATGTAATTCATTGCCTAGTGATGAACACTTAGGTTGTTTCTGTTCTTTGCTATCTTGGACTGTGTCGCATTGTATGGATGTTATTTTGTAAGTGTGGAGCTAGAGCTGCAGAATAGTTACCTAGAAGGGGGATTGCTGGGTCGAAGGGTAAATACATTTGTAATTTTGATGGATATTGCCAAATTGCCCTCTGTAGAGTTATTAGTTCTTTTCATAATTGCTTAGCATTTCTCATTAATAGCGTCATGGGTGAGCACTAATATTTCAGTCAATTATAATTATCATAGTCTTTGTTAAGAATGTTTTTATATAGGAATTCTCTCATTTGATCCCCTACAGCACTCCCATATGAGGTGGGAATTATCCCTGTTTTCCAGATAAGAAAACTGAGGTGTCAAGAGGTTCAGTGACCTGCCAAGGGTACAGAGCTGAGGTCAGATCCACATCTGCCCACCTCTTTTCTCTGCTTCAGCTGCCCCGTACCTCAGTCACTGGCCCTACCTCTGGGTAATGGGTCTCTGTTTCTTAGATCAGATTTCCCGTGGCTGGAGTTGCTGAATGCTCTGACTGGTGGCAACCCCCATTCCCCTTTCCCACATGCTGGGCTCTCCAGGAAACCTCTGCTAGCCTGGAATAAGTCTCCTGTGTTTGATCAGGACGATCAAGCCCTGGGACCTTACCACCTTGGGTGACTTAGGAAGGTTAAGAGCCAGCAAAGCTGAGGACCAGTACCTGGTGCCGTGATTTTGGAATCAGGTTGGCCATAACCTCTCTGTTGACAGTTTTCAGGACAAGTTGATCTCAATAATTGAGCCAAAGTGGCCCCAGCTAAGATCCTTTCTCCTGGCCTCAGGTGGGCTGACTTATTATTATCATTGCTGATGAGAGTAAATTACAGCAATACTTCTGGGGAAGGAACTAAATGTTTTTCCTGGTAATATTTGAAGAGGCAGCATTGCAGTGGTTAGAGCATGGAGTCTGAGCCAAACTGGGTTTTTATATTGGTTTCCTATTGCTACTCCAACAAATTACCACAAATTTAGGGGCTTAAAACGATACACATATATTATTGTGTAGCTCTGGAGGTCAGAAGTCTGAAATGGGTCTCACTGAGATAAAACCAAGGTGTCAGCAGGGCTGTGTTCCTTCTGGAGGCTCTTGGGGAGAATCCCTTTTCTTGCCTTTTCCAGCTTCTAGAGGCCTCCATCAGTCCTTGGTTCATGACCCCCTTCCATCTTCAAAGCTCACAGGATAGCATCACTCTGACCTCTGCTTCCATCATCACGTCTCCCTTCTCCCACTCTCCTCCTCTTTTTTTTTATAAGGACAGTTGTGATTTCATTGGGTCCACCCAGATAATCCAGGATAATCTCCCCATCTCAAGATCCTTGGTTTAATCATACCTGCCAAGTCCTTTTGCCATGTAAGGTACCATATTCGCAGGTTCTGGGAATTAGTGCATGGCTGGGGGCCGTTATTCTGCCTACTACAGTTTGCATCTGGACTCTACCACGTACTAATTGTGTGACCTCGGACAAGTTATTGTACCTCTTGTTCAGTTTCCCCATCCTTAAAATGGAGATAATAACAATACGTACTCCGTAGGATTATTAGGGGGATTAAATGAGTTCATATTTGTCAAATGCTTATAATAGTGTCTGACACATAGTAACTGCTATGGAAGTGTCTGCTAGCTAAAACATATTAAATAAATAAAAATATTAAAATAAAAATGTACACACTCTTTGATCTAGCAATCCTATTATTTGTAATCTATTTCATAGAGACAAAAGCATCCATGCATTAGGCTAAATAAAGCTTTGTCCATATTGGCAAAAAGAAAAACAAGAATCACTGGAATGTCCATTAACAAGAGAATGACTGAATCCCTTGTGGTCCATCTGGAATATAATGGAGCTATTAAAGAGAATACATTAGATCTATACTCACAGACCTAGAGAAAGTTAGAGGAGGAAGTTACAAAGTAACAGTATGGCATGATCTCATCTTTTTTTAAGAACAATCATCAACTCCCCAAAATTGTTGTAGATGTTTGAGACAGTTATTTAACCTCTGAATGTCTCAGTTTCTTTAGCTGTCAAATGAGGATAACAATAATTCTCCCCTAACAGGCTCTAGCGGGGATTAAATGAGATGAAATGTATCAAGTTGTTAGAATCCTGCAAGCAGCTGCAGTCTGGATACTATTTGTGTTAAGGTGGTTTGAGTGGAGAGAGGTGTGGAAGGATGCACCCAGGATGCTCACCTGGATACCTTGGCTGGAGTTGGGCAGAGGAAATTCAGAACCGGTGGGAAGAGATGACTAACTTTCTTTTTAGGTATCTTTGCGTTGTTTCACAGAGGCTAGCTCTTGTTACTTTAATAACTTTTTTGTATTCTAATGTTTTATTGGTAGTTTGGATACTATTACCATAACCACAAACACTGAATTGGGAAAAGCACGAAACTAGAAACATACCATGATTCAAAGTTTTGTCATTTTTGAAGAGGAATTTAATAACAAAAATTTCAAGGGAAAAAAAGCAAGAGAGCCCTAAATCAGGCCGGCCTTGTGTGTCCACAGCATCTACTGCCGAGGCTGCTCCAAGCCGCTGTGCTGCTCGTGCGCGCTGCTGGATAGCGGCCACAGCGAGCTCAAGTGCGACATCAGCACGGAGATCCAGCAGCGGCAGGACGAGCTGGACGCCATGACCCAAGCGCTGCAGGAGCAGGACCGCGCTTTTGATGCGGCGCAGGCGCAGATGAGCTCGGCCGTCAGCCAGCTGGGCCGCGTGCGCGCCGAAACCGAGGAGCTGATCCGCGCGCGCGTGCGCCAGGTAGTAGCGCACGTGCGGGAGCAGGAGCGCGAGCTGTTGGAGGCGGTGAACGAGCGGTACCAGCGCGACTACGAAGAGATAGCGGGCCAGCTGAGCCGCCTGGATGCAGTGCTGCAGCGCATCCGCATGGGCGGCGCGCTCGTGCAGAGGATGAAGCGCTATGCCTCGGACCAGGAGGTGCTGGACATGCACGGCTTCCTGAGCGAGGCGCTCGGCCGTCTGCGCCAGGAGGAGCCCCGGAGCCTGCAGGCCGCCGTGCGCACCGACAGCTTCGACGAATTCAAGGTGCGCCTGCAGGACCTCATCTCTTGCATCACCCAGGGGACAGGTAAGCACCCAAGACACCCTCATGGCTGCCTTGTTTACCATTTAAAGGCTTGTGACTTGCTTGCTGCTCCCTGGGGTAGGCGGGACAGAAAAGATCATCTCCATGTGACAGAAAAGAAACTGTGGGGTTTTTAAGTTTCTTGAATTTGATCACATCGGAGGTTTCAGGGCACAGGATAAAGCAGAGAGGATGCCCCGACATGGAGCTGCAGCCCCCCCACAGGGGTCACGTTTTATTAATTTAGAAGACGCTATGGGTTAGCTGTGATTTTGTGACCCTGGGGGAGTTAAGAAACTACAAAGCTGAGAGCCGGTATCGTTTTAGCCCCGGAGGGACCAGCCACTTCAGGAAGTTCTCTTAAGCCACCTGGTCCAGCAACAGAGAAGTCAGCTGGAACATGAGGTTAGGGCGGAAGGGGGCTGAGAAAACCCCCTGGAGTGGTTAAGTGCTTACCTAAAACCAGGCTGTGGCTCAGGGGAGATCATTTGGCTCCAGGATGGCCTGCCATCTGGACCAGCTGCCAACCTTTGTGGGTCCTGCCTGGTATTGGGAAGTGGGGAGACAGCAGACCAGTTCCTGACCTCAAGTTGTCCAATCCAGCTGGAGACAAGATGGGGCACATCACTAGCTGGAGAATGAAACAGCGCTTGGCTCTGCAGTCCAAATCCAGGAGTTGTAGCAGCTCTGTATGTATGAGCTGGAGACATCAGGGGGCTTTCAAGAGATATGGGGAGGGGTGTGCACAAGAGGGCCTGCAGGGCTAGGAGGCTTTAATGGCTCTTGGACGAAATCTCTAGGCTGGAATCTGAGCTCTGAACAGCTGGTATGAGGATGCCCTTACTGGGAAAGGGGAGAGAGGCTACAGAATGTGAAGGTTCCCTGGGCAGGTGACAGTGATGGAGGGCTCACTCACTCCTGCTCTTGGGCTGATGGATGTGAGCTCATAGAAGTATACATAGTTCTAGAATGGCCATGGAGTTGTGCCTTAGCCACCTACATATTAAATGTTACCCGGTATACAGGAAATGACCCCACAGAGTCTAAACAGCTTGCCTTGGGTGTTGTAACTTGGCAATGGCAGAGAAGGGAGTTATTTTATTCTGAAGCATGAGAGATTTAGATTTAATAAAAACAGGAAGAGTATCATAGAGCTCTCACTGGATGCAGAGCAGTCAGTGAGCAATGATGCCTTTAGGATTGTCCACGCTTGCCTTGGTGGTGGCCCAGAGATGGAGAGAGGGGCATTTGGGGTTTGAAGCCAAAGGCAAGTGCTCTCTGATTCCACCCCTCTCTCCCTCTGGCTGGGTTCATGCCCATTGCAGTCTAGGAGCTTTCCATCCAACTGCCAGCCCCTCAAGGAACCTGTCCTAGTGCTGTGAGAGGCCCTGGAGAATGAGTCTCCCAGAAAAGCAACAGGGATGTTCCCTCTGTCACTGTCCCAAGCCAGGGTGCCTCTCACCAGGGTTGGGCCTGACCTGCCTGTGACCTTCTCTGTGTTCTCCAGATGCAGCTGTACCCAAGAGAACCAGCCCAGAGGCTGCCAGCACTCGCAGGGACCCTTCTGACGTTGACCTGGTGAGATGGGTTTGAGGTCTGAAGGGGAGGCGGTACAGTCCAGCAGGTCAGCGGGTTGAAAGTTGCCTGTGTCAGGAAGGAAACTGAGTCTTGCTGTCTGTGTGTCTCCAGGCAGTAGAGGAGGGAGAGCGCCTGAGAGGGACAGCCAGTGGCTGGACTGGAGCTTTCAGTGGGAGGGAGTAAGGGAAGGATTGGCTGGCTGGCTCTGAGCTCCTAAATGCCGAAGTAGCTCTTGATGGGTTCAGGGCTTTAGACCACGGGGTGGACAGGAAGTGAAGGAGGTGGTCACTGGTAGGTGGCACTGATAGATGTGGCAAATGACTGTCCCCCCCACCCCACCCTAGATGTGAGCCTTTCCTGGGGTCAACATGTGGACCTTCCCCTCTTCTCCCCCCGCTCATGGTTCTTGGAGAGGAGTGGAGAATGGGGCCAGGAGTCAGGCCTCGATCCCAGCAGCCTGGGTTCCATCAGTGTGATTTCAGTGTCAGCGTATATCCAAGAACCATAGTTGTTCAGGGTTGGAAGGTGCTCATACCCCTTCTAATGTTGGCATTCCCTCTGCAGCACCCCTGACCTGTGGCTGTCCAGCTTTCATGCTGTAAGGGAGGAAGAAATACTCCTGTACCCTCTGAGTCCTTCTGGCTGGTCTAGGAATTAAATTGATATGAGACAGAATCACAGGAGAAAATCAAACAAATTTAATAACATGTATAGATGGGAGAAACCCAGGAAAACTGAGTAACTCGCCAAAATGGCTGAAGCCACCACCTTAAATACCATCTTCAGCTAAAGACAGAGGAGGATGTTGGGGGTTGTAGTTTGGAACTTCAAAGGGAAGGAAGGCAATTCACATGGAGATGGAAAAGAAAATGTTTGGTAAATAAATGTTTGCTGGGCCATCTGTAAACAATGAGAGAACTGATAAAATGGGCTTTGGTAGGTTCCACCCTGTCTACCACACCTAGTTCATATTATACTAGAGTTACCTATGGTGATAGCTCCTTCTTGGGACAGGCCTTCTATCTTAAATTCTTTGGGCAGTTAGGGGGAAGGTCAAAGTTTCTTTCTGAATTGTGAGGAAGATCAGCCCTGAGCTAACATCCGGTGCCAGTCCTCCTCTTTTTGCCGAGGAAGATTGGCCCTGGGCTACCATCTGTGCCCATCTTCCTCTACTTTATATGGGACGCCCTCACAGCGTGGCTTGACAAGCGTGTGTCAGTGTGCGCCTGGGATCCAAACCTGCGAACCCCAGGCTGCCAAAGCAGAGCGCGCTCACTTAACTGCTATGCCACCGGGCCGGCCCCTCTTTCTGAGTCTTGTTCTTAAAAATAATCAAGCCAAAGAGACACATTTTAGGGTAGCAAATTCTGATCTCCCGCAATGCACGCACCTCCAGGGACAGGCAGCTCACTCATTCTTGAGGCACTCACTGCCATCTCTGAGCTGCGCTGACTTACAGTGCTTCCCTAGGTGGAAATGCAGTGGCATCCCTTTGACTTGCCCTCTTGGGCTCTTGCGTGCATGGCTCCTCTCCACCAGGATAAGCTTCCTCCTGCACCAGGTGTCTGGTCTCCTCCCCATCCTGGTCATCCAGGTTTGCGTGTGCTTGCCTGTCAAGGATCTGGGCCCAGAACTGACTAGTCCTCCATGGAAAGAAGGTCTTCTGGTGGGGGTGGTCAGGGCAATAAGCCTTTCTAGCTTTGCCATGGCATGGCCAGTGGGAGGGAGAGATTGCTGCAGGCTGAGACAATCAGGAGAGGCTTCCTGGAGGAGGCAGGACTTAGGATCTGAGAGTTTCAGAGCTGGGAGAGAGCATGGAGTCTAACTCCCTCCTTTACAGAGAATGAAGCTAAGGCCCAGAGAGAGGGTGTGACTTAACCCGAGGCCACACAGCAAGCTAGGGATAGGACTAGAAGCCAGCTCCTAACTGCCTTAGGTGCTGCATTCCCATATACACAACTTCAAAAGTTAAAAAAAAGGCCATTTTATTTTATTTTTTGGATGTCATACAATCACATGGTCAGAAATAAAAACAGAAAGTGATAAATGTCTCACTCCTACAATGTCCCCCATCTGTCCAGTTCTCTATTAATTTCTCACATATCCTTCCAGAATTTCTTCATGTAATTACAAGCAAATATGATTATAGACATTAGTTTTCCATTCTTTTTTTTTTTTTTTTTTTTTTTGCACAAAGGTAGCATAATACCATATATACATAGTTTTGTGCTGGGGCTTTTTCACCAATGATGTATTCCAGAATTCTTACCCTATCAGTAGGCAGGAAGCTTCCTGATGCCTTTTTGCATCTGCATAGTGGTCCAATGAATGGATGGAGCATACTTTATTTAGCCAGTTCCCTGTTGGTGCATATTTAGGTTGTTTTGGTACTACAAGCAATGCTAGAATGAATAATATCCCCAAATAAATCACATGAGTAAGAGTGGAAAGTGCTGTGGGTCATAGATCTCGGCCGTCTTCCAGGTGCCAGTCGCTGGTTAATGAATAGCAAGAGGGCCCCTGCTGTCTTGCCTATGGTTGAGGCATTTTGCCAGGTCTTTGTCTTGATGTGACTTTGGTACCGATTGAACTCGCTCCCCAGCCAGGGAGAGACTGGAGGAGGATCTCTTGCCTTTCCTCTCAGGGTTCTTCCTCTGCTCCGGGTCACAACTTTGAAAGGAGACCGACGTTGAGTGTTCGATAGCACAAGCTTTATTCAGTGGCCAAAGAATGGAGAAGTGGGAACAAAGTTCACAAATCAACTTCTCAGCTCCTGGCGTGATTAAGCAGCTGTTATAAGGGGTCTAGGTAAGGAAGGGGAGGAATATTCCTAGTTATTCTGGGAAATGGGCAGGCTTTTCTGGGGAGCAAGGGTGCCACCTCCTTTCTTTCCTTATTTGGTTATAGCCTGCCATTTTCATGGCGGTGGTAAACTGTCGTGGCGTCAGTGGGTGTGTTCTATAATATGGTAATGTATTGTGACAGAGCTGCGGGGTCTGTGTCAGATCAAGTCAGACTGCAGTGTTGCCTTCAACCGGTTTTGACTGGTTTTGTTCAGCCATCTTCTCCTTCCTTCCTTTGTGGTTTCCTGCAAGCTAAAGACAACACGTCAGGCTTATTCTGAGCGGGATTGTGGTTAATGTCTTATGGGGCCAGGAGCCAGGGTAACAGCTTCTCACTATCAGCTTCTAAACAGTTTGAACTTGGAACATCAGAAGAATGCTCTTTGTCCAAAGCCCTTTGCTTTCACTTTGGTAATAGGCTGGGGGTGGGTGGAGCTGGGTGAAGGAACTGGTAACACACTGTGAGTGCAAAGGGCAGGTGTGGCAGCTCGAGTGAGGCTGGCTGTCCCAGGAGAAAGTCAGTTCCATCTGTGTGCCAGGAGAAAGGCAACCCTTGGCCCCGGGGCCCTGCCTTAGGAGGCAGGAGCTGGGCCTCTGGTGCCAGCACTCATTCCTCTTAAAATGCGGGTTTACTTTCATTGCAACCGTGTGCCTAGGAGGAGATGAGCAAACTCACCAACAGGCTTAAGCCAGGGAGCGCTGGGGGGGGGCCGCGGGTGGGGGGCGGCGCAGCAGCGGCTCAGGCATTTTCCCTCTTCTTTCTCATAGGCTCTTTTTGTAATGACGTTGCAATACTTTAATGGAAAAAATAAAAAATTTTAAAGCTTTACAACAATTATAAATCAGTCATCATGATTTTATTTTGTTTACTGAGCCCTCATGTGTCCCTGCTTCATTAACACTGGCTGGGGGAGTGGGAGGGAATGACTGTCAGGGAGGGTGGGACAGAGGCAGAGGAGCCCAGCCCTGCCTTCAGGGAGGTCACGGTCCACGTGAAAGAGGGTCTTTTACATCCCAGCAGTTTGTACAGCCAGACGTGGGAGGATAGATAGAGCAGGGCCTTTTCAACTTTTTTTGTATTGTAATGGTGATAAAATACACATAAAATTTACCTAGAAGTGGAATTGCTGGATGTATGGTAATTCTATTAATTTTTTGAGGAACTGCCATATGGTTTTCCATAGTGCAATTTTCCACACCATTCTACCTTCCCACCAACAACGCACAGGGGTTCCAATTTCTCCCCATTCTCACCCACACTTGTTTTTTTGTGAGGAAGATTAGCCCTGAGCTATCTGTCGCCAATCCTCCTCTTTTCGCTGAGGGAAGACTGGCCCTGGGCTAACGTCTGTGCCCGTCTTCCTCCACTTTATATGGGATCCTGCCACAGCATGGCTTGACAAGTGGTGCGTCGGTGTGCGCCTAAGATCCGAAACCCTGGCCACCGCGCTGCCGCGGAGTGTGCGCACTTAACCGCTACGCCACCGGGCAGGGCTCCACACTTTTTTTTTTTATAGTAGCCATCCTAATGGGTATGAGGTGGTTTAAACTTTTTTGACCACCATCCACTGTAAAAATATATTTTACATCTAACCTATAGTGTATACACATGCCCACAAGTACCTGTAGCTAAAACAGAAATTTTGCAAAACAAATTATGCTTATTACATGGGAAGTACTTTCATATTTTGTATACTATGTAATATAAAAAATGCTGGTCATGACCCACTAGATTGCTTTTGTGTTCCACTAGTGGATCCCAGACTGTAGTTTGAAAAACACTGGCGTAGAGAGCAGAGTGGAGATCATGTGGCTTTCCTAGAGGCCTGGGAGAGCATTCACTCTCACCCGTTCTCCCAGACAGGCTCCGTTCTCTGATCCAGAGAGACAGCTCTCCTCCCTTGATGTAAAGATGTTGAGAAAGAAAAACCCAGGAAGGAAGGGAAGAGGGAGGAGAGAAGGAAGTCATCCATTATAGCAAATGGTGTAGAGCCCACATCCTACATCAAAGCACTTGATGCTAAGGAGCATCAACCTCGGGGTTCCAGTACCCAGCACAGGGGCCATCATGCCGGTCTTTCCCTGCCTACCCCATCCCTGGTGTTTCCCTTGTGAGGGTGGGCCTGACCGTGTCCTCCACCACACAGGAGGGACAGAGCTTGTCCATGTGAGGAAAGCATATCCTGACCTCATCATCTCCCCGTCCAGTGCCTGGCCCTTCCCATGCAGCTCTCCTAGATGGAGCGCCCCCTCCAGCCAGGTGGGAATCCCTTTCCTTCACTGCATGGACGGACTACAGGCTCCTGATTGATGCTCATCCATTGGGGGCACACAGAGTGAGGTGCCCAGGGATCAGGATTGGAGACAGGAGTGGCAGGCCAGGGCCCCTGGAGCTGAGCCCTGGAGTCTGGGTCACCCGTCACTCATTTTCAGCAAACGGTCCAGCGAATGCTTCAGTTTCCCACAATAGAGGAAGCTGGTGGGGAGGGATGTAAAGGAGACAGTGACTAAAAAGGGATCACACGCAGGGGCAGGAAGGGAATTTCCATTTCCAGAACGCTAGATTCAAACCCTGGTCCAGGCCTTTCCTGGGTATTTGACCTTAGGAAATCACATCACCTCTTTGTGCCTCAGTTTCCCTCTTTGTAGATTGGCAATAACCATAGTGTAGTACCTATTTTTTTTTAACTATAATTTTTTTTATCGTGGTAAAATTCACATAAGAAAATTCACCATTTTAACCATTTTAAAGTGTGCAATTCAGTGACATTTAGTACACTCACAATCTTCTACAACCATCCCATCTGTCTGGTTCCAGAATATTTTCATTACCCCAAAAGGAAACCTCATACCTGTGAAACAGTCACTCCCTATTTCCCCCTCCCCCATCCCTTGGCAACTACGAGTCTGCTTTCTGTCTCTATGTATTTAACTATTCTGGATATTTCATATAAATGGAATCATACAATATGTATTCTTTTGTGGCTGGCTTCTTTTCACTTAGCATAATGTGTTCAAGTTTCATCCATGTTGCATATATCAGAACTTCATTCCTTTTCATGGCTGAATAATATTCTGCCTTATGGGTGTACCACGTTGTATTTATCCATTCATCAGTTGATAGACATTTGGGCTGTTTCCACCTTTTGGCTATTGTGAATAATGCTCCTGTGAACATTCACATGCCAGTTTCTGTTTGAATATCTGTATTTAGTTCTTTGGAGTATATACCTAGGAGTAGAATTGTTGGATCATATGGAAATTCTATGTTTAACTTTTTGAGGAACTGCCCCTACATTTTGGGATGGGTACATGAAGCACTCAGCACTGAGCCTTAAACAGTATTCTTCATCATCATCATCATCATCGGTGCTCACTAAGTGCCAGGTGCTCTTCTAAGCATTTTACTTGTAGTGACGCATGTCATCCACATTACCCTGTGAGGGCGATATTATTATTATTCCTCTGTTACAGAAGGGGACTGAGGCCCAAGAAGTGTTAAGTGATTTGCCCAAAGTGTGTAGTCGCTGTTCTGACCCAGGTGGGGTTAAGGCCCTGGGGGCAGAATGAAGGTCACAGGGAGGCCAATTTCAGCCCAGTGGAAGGATGTCCTCACCATTACAACTTGCAGTTTGAAGAGCTGCTTCCGTCAGTAGTGAGCACTGTGTCCCTGGAGGTGTGTAGCTGGGGCTGGTGTCGAGTGAGCCTTGAGGAGTTGCCGGGCAGTGTGACCCTGAGGTCGTCTGCTGGCCCTGTTAGGAAGCATAGGAATTGAAGCCAGCACCTCAGGGTCAGAAGGAGGTGAAGTCATGGAGGGTGTGGGGAGGCCTCCTGGTCCCTTTGGACCAGGCAGCCTGCACCTGTGGCTGGGTGAGGCCCTGGGTTGGGCTGACCTCAGGCCTCGGGTCCCAGCCCTGGGCCTGCTGCCTGGTCATTCCTGACTCTCGTTTCCTGACCTTGCAGCCAGAGGAGGTGCAGAGGGCTCAGGCGCCGGCCCCGGGGCTGGCCGAGGCCCTGGCTGAGACCCAACCTGTGGCTGTGGTACAGGCGGTGCCTGGAGCACACCCTGTGCCAGTGTACGCCTACTCCATCAAAGACCCCTCCGACAGAGAGGTGAGGCTCTCCCCAGACCCACGTCCCCTCCCGAAGGCCCAGATCCCACCAGACAGTAAGAGGTGGAGCTGGGGTGAGATTCCAGGCCTTAATTAGCACCTACTCTATGTTCTCCCTCGTTCTTGGCTGCCCTGTTAGGAAGCTCCCCTCTAAGCATGAGCCACTCCCAGGGCAATCAGAGGCCAGCAGAGGTCAGTGGTCAGCAGGCAGGGCCTGTGTGCATGGCAGCCTGGGAGGGCTTCCTGTACGGAGAGAGGCATGATCTGCATGGCAGAGAGCAGAGGAAAGGTGGGGGGCACAGGCCCCTGCCCCCCACCCCACTGCCTCTGGAGGCTTCTGACCCAGCCCTGTGACTTCCCACTGCACAGGAGGTCTCCAGTGCAGCCACACCGCAGAAGAGGAAGTCCTGCCAGACCGAGTGCCCCAGGAAGGTCATCAAGATGGAGTCTGAGGAGAGAGAGGCAAGGTTGGCCCGGAGCTCCCCCGAGCAGCCCAGGCCCAGCACCTCCAGGGCAGTCTCGCCACCCCACCTGGACAAGCCTCCCAGCCCCAAGAGCCCCATCGTAGGAAATGAGGTCTTCCTGCCCAACAGCAACCACACAACCAGCGACCCTGCGGAGGCAGGTAGGCAGGTGGGTGGGCAGCAGAGGCTGAGGCCTGCATGCTGTCCTCCAGGGACTGGGAGCGCCCCCCTTCTGCATCCTTACGCCACCCAGGGAGCCCAAAGCCACCAGTCTTCCCTGTGTGTCCTGCTCTCAGCTACCACCTGATGGGGCAGGGAAAGCGCACGGTTTGCCTGGGGGTGAGGTGGATCCACTTACCATGTGCTTTGCCGGGATTCACTGTGGGGAGCATGAAGGGCTGAGGCCCACAGTCCATAGCTCCTTCCCCCAACACACCCTACAGTGCCCGGAACCCTGCCTCTGCACAGGGTGGGTCTCCCCAAGAAATGTTTGTGGGTGGGTGCCTGGCACACTCTCAGAGAGGACTTGGATCGAGGCCACTCCCATCAGTTCCCAAATTTTTCTGCACAGGCCACCCACCGAAGGTGCCTCATTTGTCCTGGATATCTTTTATGGACACTGCCACACAAGGAGTCCTTGGGCATGAGTGTAGGTCAACCCATAAAATTCTGGAACGTTTAAGACAGTTCTTCCTGGATCTGCTTCATCCAGAGTCCAGCTTTGTTTTCATTCTAGGTCCTACACTGAGCCCTGACCCTGCTCACATACTGAGCCCCGACTGATATTCCTTGCTCACAAACACGATTGGTAATCAAAAGGGGCTGAGAATGGAAGAAAGCAAGGTGCTTCTTTAAGATTGCAAAAGGGGTCAAATGTCTACAGGGAGCAAATGCTGAATTTAGGGCCAACAGCTGAATTAAGTATTCACAGGGAGGGCAGGGCAGGCAGTGATGGAAAGCCACTTTGAGTAAACAGATTCACGCTGGCACACATGGTGAATGTTCACATCCCCCCTTGCAGGGCACCTGTCACCCACCCAGTCCACTGGCCTGCAAGGACTCCCACGGGAGAATACCCCAGAACCCCCCTGCCCGGGCAACCCCGGCAGGGCCTAACGCTGTCTCCCCTGCCCTGTTTCAGAGGAACGCATCGTGGTGATCAGCAGCTCAGAAGACTCAGATGCCGAAAACTCGGTGAGTGGCCCAGAAGTTCGGCCCAGGACTCCTGCCTCTCCCCATGCCAGGTCCCAGGGGGCACAGCCGCAGCAGGTGACTCTCAGACTCGCCTTGCGCCTGGGGAATTTCCAGCGAGGCAATGAGTCCTGAGCTGTCCTGAGGACAGTCTCCAAATGCCAGCTGTGGGCCTGGACCACCCCAGCCCTCCCTCCATACTGGGGCAGGAGCCTTCAGTAACCACGTATACTCCTCTGAAATGCTGATAGAGTGCTTCCTTCCAGAGCCCTGTCTCTTTTCTGGACTAGCCCATGCCTTTGTCTGGAGCTTCCTTATGCATTTTCTGTCCTCTTAAGGCCTCAGTGAGGAGGGTAGACGAGAACCCATTCCCCAGTTAATCACAGCCAGTGAGGGCCGGTGCAGGGGTGTGTGGGCGTGGGCAGCACCGTGCAGGGCCCAAACAGGCAAGTTTTCACTCCATGTAAGAAAGAACTTCTTTAAAGCCATCCTACAATGGAACAAGTGGCCTTGTGGGTTGTAACCCTTCTGTCTCCAGAGGTTTGCTAATGGAGGCTGAGCTGTCACCTGTCCAGGGGAAAGGGGATCTGAAGAGTGAAAGGTTGGACTGGGTGACCCCCGAGGTCCCTTCCAGCCCTTAGTCTGAGGTTCTGTATTGGAAAGCGCGTGGAGCCCATGGAGAGCGATGCGCCACACTCCTCGCCAGCCCAGCCACTGCGGAGAGCGCAAGGAGCGTCCCACCCCTGCCGGCGTTTCACCCGTCTGCTACATGGCACATGCCGCCCCCTGGCTTGGCCTCTCCACCCTCCCATCGAGCAAGCTGCTGTCCCTGATGCTGAATGTCCCAACCAGACTGCCGGTCACCAGGAGCATGCTGCTGTCCACCGTGGGATCAGCTCCCTGTCACGCAGAACACCAAGAAGTACCCACCTTCGCCGCTCATTAGGCTTGCCCCTCGAAGTCTATTGTACCCCCAAGAGGACTTTCCTTCCCCTCACGGTCCAAGTCACTACCCCTGCCACCACGGGGCCTCCCAACCATCGTGCCAATCCCCAAGAGTGTCCCACTCGCCTCCAAAGGGCAAGCGGGCAACCCCGCTGGGCGAGAGGCGCAGTACTATCCCGAGGCCGCTCCCTCCGCGGCTTCCCCCATGTACAGTGGCTTAACAACTTCTTTGCCCTTCCTCTGTCGTCTGTGGCTCCCCAGCTTGATGCCTCTCTCAGGGGGGGTGTTGGGGGAGGAAGAGCACCCCAGACTCTTGGGGCAGGAGTCTCCCCCAGGGATTCTGACAGAGCCCCCATGGAGAATCCCCAAGTCCAGGTCCCAGTGGAAGTCCCTCCAATTGCATTCCTACCACCCCACCCTCCAGAAAGGTCCCCCACCAGCCTGGCCCCCCTCAGACAAGCCTCTGAGAGTCCCTAGTGCCTCCCTTTTCTACAGCTGCTGGCCACCACCCTCTTGTAACCTGTGGCCGAACACCCATGACCTGCTCCCTGAGCCTCCATCCCACTGCCTGGCCCAGCCCACACACTAAAGGTCCTGCACACAATAGGCATTCAATACATCTTGGTCAAGGAGTAAACCAAGGAATGAATGGCTACATGGACTCTGGGCAGGAAGACTTAAGTCCTCTTCAGCCAAGAGGACATGACTGGGATTCAGGCCATCATTTCACACATCCTTGGGCCTCTTTGCCCAAGAAAAAGAAGCTTCTCTCGCCCTTTGCACCTCCCACTGCCCCATACCCCCACCCCAAGCCTTTCCACTAGGCCTCTGCCAGGATCTGAGCCCATGAGGGCGGGGACTGTGTCCATCCCAGGACCTGGCAGATGTGGCTGCTCAATAAATATTTGTTGAAAGATACCCTTGCAAACCCTTCTTCCATGACCATCAACTTCCCTGCTGGACTTAGCTCTTCCCTGCAGGTGGCTTTGTTTCCTCCCTGCACTGAAACTCGGTTCTCCTGTGGGGAAACTGTCTCCTCTTTCTCTCACACCCTATGAGCATCAGAAGTGGGAGGTGGGGACAAGGCCCTCGGTGCCTCCTGGACTGTTTCAGTCCCACCATCTGGTAAGATCCCTCTGCCTTTGAGGTTCCAGGTCTCCAGGTGAGCCCCACTTTCTCCAGCCCCTCTCAGACATCCTCCTGCCTCACCCCACATAGGGAAGAGCCCGGGACCTGCCTCCTAGGTTTCCTGTCCCCACGTAGGTCCAGCCTTCTTCCTGGGTGACTCCAGCACCCACCACCCTTGCCTCTCCACTCCTTGACCTCTTGGGGTCTTCACCCCATTCCACTGCAGCTGCCAACTACGTGTCTGCACCCTGGACCTCACCATCACCGGGAATTGGCCCACTGAGACTCTGACCACAGCCTCCTGTCCCTTGAGTTCTCAGTCTGTTACTTTCAGGTCCTCTGCTTTCTCCTTCCCAGCTTCTCCTGTAGTTCTGGCTGCTCCTCTTCACTCTCCTTTCAGGTCTCTGTTCTTTTTTTTTTTTTTTTTGATGTCTTAATAGTTTATCACATTGTGAAATTTTGGGTTGTATATTTTTGTTTGTCCATCACCATATATATGTCTCCGTTCATCCCTTGTGCCCACCCCCTACCCCCATTGCCCCTGGTAACCACAATACAGTTTTCTCTGTCCATGTGTTGGTTTATATTCCACATATGAGTGAGATCATACAGTGTTTGTCTTTCTCTTTCTGGCTTATTTCACTTAAC